TAGCCAGGCGTGGTGGTGTGCGCCTGTAATCCCAGCTACTTGGGAGGCTGAGGCAGGAGAACTGCTTGAATCTGGGAGATGAAGATTGCAGTGAGCCAAGATCACGCTACTGCACTCCAGCCTGGGCAACAAACAGAGTGAGACTGTGCTCAAAAAATAATAATTGGCTGGGTGCAGTGGCTCACGCCTGTAATCCCAGTACTTTGGGAGGCTGAGGCAGGTGGATCATGAGGTCAGGAGTTCGAGACCAGCCTGGCCAACATGGTGAAACCCTGTCTTTACTGAAAATACAAAAATTAGCCAGACATAGGCTGGGTGCGGTGGCTCATGCCTGTAATCCCAGCACTTTGGGAGGTCGAGGAGGGCAGATCATGAGGTCAAGAGATCGAGACCATCCTGGCCAACATGGTGAAACCCCGTCTCTACCAAAAATACAAAAATTAGCTGGGCGTGGTGGTCCATGCCTGTAAATCCCAGCTACTTGGGAGGCTGAAGCAGGAGAATCGCTTGAACCCAGGAGCCAGAGGTTTCAGTGAGCCGAAATGGTGCCATTGCACTCCAGCCTGGCAACAGAGCAGGACTCCATCTCAAAAAAAAAAAAAAAAAAAAAAAAAAAAAAAAAAAAAAATTAGCCTGGCGTGGTGTCATGCGCCTGTAATCCCAGCTACTCAGGAGGTTGAGGCAGGAGAATCACTTGAAACTGGAAGGCAGAGGTTGCAGTGAGCTGAGACTCCAGCCTGGGCAACAAGATCCAAACCCTGTCTCAAAAAAATAAATAAATAAAAATAAAAATTTTAAAAAATGAAATAAAATAGCAATACTCCCACCCCGTTGCTATTAAGAAGGTGGGTTTTTTTGTTTTTGTTTGCAGCCAATGTGCTTATTGTCACCTGACATGTATTTGATGTTTTGTTATTGATTTGCTGCTACTTACTACTCCATAAAAGCAGGCTTTTTTTTTTTTTAAGATGGCATCTGGCTCTGTCGCCCAGGTTAGAGTGCAATGGTGCGATCTCGGCTCACTGCAGCCTTTGCCTCCCCGATTCAAGCGATTCTCCTTCCTCAGCCTCCAGAGTAGTTGGGACTGGCTGGGCGCGGTGGCTCAAGCCTGTAATCCCAGCACTTTGGGAGGCCGAGACGGGCGGATCACGAGGTCAGGAGATCGAGACCATCCTGGCTAACACGGTGAAACCCCGTCTCTACTTAAAAAAATACAAAAAACTAGCCGGGCGAGATGGCGGGCACCTGTAGTCCCAGCTACTCGGGAGGCTGAGGCAGGAGAATGGCGTAAACCCGGGAGGCGGAGCTTGCAGTGAGCTGAGATCCGGCCACTGCACTCCAGCCCTGGCGACAGAACCAAACTCCGTCTCAAAAAAAAAAAAAAAAAAAAAAAAACCCAAAATAAACAGAGTAGTTGAGACTACAGGTGTGTCCCACCATATCCAGCTAATTTTTTGTATTTTTAGTTGAAACGGGGTTTTGCTGTGTTGGCCAGGCTTGTCCCGAACTCCTGACCTCAAGTGATTCCCCCCCGCCTCAACTTCCCAAAGTGCTGGGATTACTGGCATGAGCCACTGAGCCCAGCCAGGCAGGGATTTTTTTGTGTGTGTGGAGTCTCGCTCTTGTTGCCCAGGCTGGAGTGCAATGGCAGGATCTCGGTTCACTGCAACTCCCGCCTCGCGGGTTCAAGTGATTCTCCTGCCTCCACCTCCCAGGTAGGTGGGATTACAGGCGCTTGCCAACACGCCCGGTTATTATTTATTTATTTATTTTGGAGATGGAGTCTCGCTCTGTCACCCAGACTGGAGTGCAGTGGCGCGATCTCCACTCACTGCAAGCTCTGTCTTCCAGGTTCACTCCATTCTCCTGCCTCAGCCTCCCGAGTAGCTGGGACTACAGGCGCCCGCCACCGCGCGCGGCTAATTTTTTTGTATTTTTAGTAGAGACGGAGTTTTACCGTGTTCGCCAGGATGGTCTTGATCTCCTGACCTCGTGATCTGCCCACCTCGGCCTACCGAAGTGCTGGGATTACAAGTGTGAGCCACCGCGCCCGGCCTCAGGCAGGGATTTTTTTTTTTACCCTTTTGTTCTTTGCTGTATCCCCAGCATATAGAACAGGGCCCGGCACACAGTAGAAGCTCAAGAAATATTTTGTGGAGTTAAAGACTAGAGATGTAGAGAAAATCAAGCTGAGAGAGGTAGAGAAACAGCTGATCTCATGTTAGCCACTGGCACAACTGTGCCTGACCAACCCTGCGCTTTTTTTTTTTCTTTTTCTTTTGTTTGAGACAGAGTCTCCCTCAGTCGCCCAGGCTGGAGTGCAGTGGTGCGATCTCGGCTCACTGCAAGCTCCGCCTCCCAGGTTCTCACCAATCTCCTGCCTCAGCCTCAGCCTCCGGAGTAGCTGGGACTACAGGCGCCCGCCACCACGCCTGGCTAATTTTTTTTTGTATTTTTAGTAGAGAGGGGGTTTCACCATGTCGGCCTGGATGGTCTCGATCTCCTCACCTGGTGATCCACCCGTCTCAGCCTCCCAAAGTGCTGGGATTACAGGCGTGAGCCACCGCGCCCGGCCACCCCTGCGCTTTTAAAAAACGGAAGTCAATGCAAATCTCTTCCTCAGGAAATTGGTATTTAGATTGTGCATGTATGTGAGAGGGAGGTAGAATAAACAAGATGGACACCTGTTTCATAACTTTGGTCACAATAAATTATTATGAATGACAAACCGGTCCCAGAGTTAAATGCATGTTTACTGGAGTTCAATCAATATTTGAACACCAACCACTTACCATGGAACCTTGAATACACTACTTAACCCTCCCTTGTCTCAGTTATTCATGTATAAAATGTGGAAGATAGCCTGGCTGACGTGGTGAGATCTCGTCTCTATAAAACATGTTTGTTTGTTTGTTTTTTAAGTAAGCCAGATGAGGTGGTGCACGTCTGTGGTCCTAGCTACTCGCGAGGCTGCAGTGGGAGGATCACTTGAGCCCAGAAGGTGGAGGCTGCAGTGAACCATGTTCATGCCACTGCACTCCAGCCTGGGTGACAGAGTGAGACCCCATCTCTTTTTTTTTTTTTTTTTTTGAGACGGAGTCTCACGCTGTTGCACAGGCTGGAGTGCAGTGGCGCGATCTCGGCTCACTGCAAGCTCCGCCTCCTGGGTTCACGCCATTCTCCTGCCTCAGCCTCCTGAGTAGCTAGGACTACAGGCGCCCGCCACCGCGCCCGGCTAATTTTTTGTATTTTTAGTAGAGACGGGGTTTCACTGTGGTCTCGATCTCCTGACCTTGTGATCCGCCCGCCTCGGCCTCCCAAAGTGCTGGGATTACAGGCTTGAGCCACCGCGCCCGGCCGTGAGACCCCATCTCTACAAAACATTTTGTTTGTTTATTTTTTGTTTTGTTTTGTTTTTGAGAGTCTTTCTCTGTGGCCCAGGCTGGAGTGCAATGGCACCATCTCGGCTCACTGCTACCTGTTTCCCGGGTTCAAGCGATTCTCCTGCCCTAGCTTCCTGAGTAGCTGGGACTACAGATGTGTGCCACCATACCCAGCTAATTTTTACATTTGTTTAGTAGAAATGGGGTTTCACTATATGTTGGCCAGGCTGGTCTCGAACTCCTGACCTCAAGTGATGCGCCTGCCTTGGCCTCCCAAAGTGTTGGAGTGTTGGGATTACAGGCATGAGCCACTGTGCCCGGCCACCTTTTTTTTTTTTTTTTTTTTTGAGACGGAGTCTTGCTGTGTCGCCTGGGCTGGAGTGCAGTGGCTGGATCTCAGCTCACTGCAAGCTCCGCCTCCCGGGTTTATGCCATTCTCCTGGCTCAGCCACGAGGTCAGGAGATCGAGACCATCCTGGCTAACACGGTGAAACCCCGTCTCTACTAAAAATACAAAAAACTAGCCGGGTGAGGTGGCGGGCGCCTGTAGTCCCAGCTACTCAGGAGGCTGAGGCACGAGAATGGCATGAACCCAGGAGGCGGAGCTTGCAGTGAGTGGAGATCGCGCCACTGCACTCCAGCCTGGGCGACAGAGTGAGACTCTGTCTCAAAAAAAAAAAAAAAAAAAAAGAGAGGCATATCACCCCAAAAATGTTGGGGAAGGAAGTTCTAAACCCTCTTTGTGTGATAAGATCCTTTATTTATTTATTTATTGAGACGTGATCTCACTGTATTGCCCAGGCTGGTCTCGAACTCCTGAACTTAAGTGATCCTCTTACCTCCACCTCCCAAAGTACTGGGATTACCCTCCTGAGCCACTGTGTCCAGCCAGACAGGGTCCTCTCTGGCATCTGGGTTCAGTGTCATACTCCACCCAACACCTTTCTTAGGGCTCTTAGTTTTTGTTTTTGAGACAGGGTCTCCCTCTGTCCTCCAGGCTGGAGTGCAGCAGCCCAGTCACTGCTCACTGCAGCTTCAACCTCCCGGGGCTCCGGTGATTCTCCCACCTCAGCCTCCCAAGTAGGTGGGATTACAGTCTCGTACCACCACGCTCAGCACATTTTTTGCTTGTTTGTTTGTTTATTTTTGAGATAGGGTCTTGCTCTGTCACCCAGGCTGGAGTGCAGTGGCACTATCTCTGCTCACTGCAGTCTCCACCTTCCGGGTTCAAGCAATTCTCTTGCCTCAGCCTCCACAGTAGCTGGGGTTACAGGCACATGACACCATCCCTGGCTAATTTTTTTGTACTTTTAGTAGAAGACAGAGTTTTGCCATGTTGGCCAGGCTGGTCTCGAACTCCTGACCTCAGGTGAGCCGCCTGCCTTGGCCTCTCAAAGCGCTGGGATTACAGGCGTGAGTCACCGCACCCAGCCAAATTTTTGTATTTTTTGTAGAGACAGGATCTTGTTATGTTGCCCAGGCTGGTCTTGGCTCTTAGGTTTTTCTCTCTCTGTGTTTGTGTGTATGTGTGTGTGTGTGTGTGTGTGGTTGTTTTCCTTTATCTTGATAAAGGGTGAACGTGGCACACAGGCGCAAAATAAACAAGACTGACACCTGTTTCATAACTCTGGTGACTATTTTCATCTGCATCTGTCACTTCTGATGCATCTCCAACATTTGTAACATTTCTCTGGGGAGGGATCTGACGTACCCATGCCCCACCCCTTTCTATATTTATGAGATTGAGCTGTCCACCAGCCACCCATGGGCTGATGTCTTTGGAATATGGATCTAGTACCAACAGGGTCATGAAAAGAGATGGGGTCCAATGGGCTACAGTTGGGGGGTGGTCCCGGGATACAGAGTATAGTAGCTTCAGTTGGGGGCTTTCCAGGAGAGGAGTCACAAGCTTGCCTGTGGGACTTGTGTCTTGCGGGGAGGACACAGCTGCCTCAGGTCGGGGAGACAGACAGAGTGTGCCGGGTCCCCTCTTTCCGCCGTAGCATGAAGTCTCCGGGGGCGGCTGGACTCATGGCATAGAAGACGTTGGCATTGTCAGGAATCAGGAGCTCTGGTCAGGAGTGGAGACGGTGGTAATAGGCCCTCACAACCTTGTGTCACCCTCACAGAGTACCCGGGAACCTACTACCACTCAACCTCGAACCTGAACAGCCGTGGGTCCCTCTGCAGCTACTGCCAATCAAGCTCATTCTGCTCTCACTGGGAATCTGGACAACTTCTCACTTGAAAACCTGCACCACCTCAAGCCTTCCCTTATCAAAAGCCTGGGCAACCTCCTAACATTCTCCCCCTCATCACAGACAAGGCAACCTGCAGTAAAAGTTTGGGCAAACTGGCGGGGCGCGGTGCCTCATGCCTGTAATCCCAGCACTTTGGGAGGCCGAGGTGGGTGGATCACTGGAAGTCAGGAATTTGAGACCAGTCTGGCCAACATGGTGAAACCCCGTCTCTACTAAAAACACCAAAAAAAAGATCTGGGTGTGGTGGCGCATGCCTGTCATCCCAGCTACTCAGAAGGCTGAGGCAGGAGAATCACTTGAACCTGGGTGGTGGAGGTTGCGGTGAACCGAGATCCTGCCATTGCATTCCAGCCTGGGCAACAGCGCAAAACTCCATCTCAAAAAAAAAAAAAAAAGACAACCTGCAGTAAAAGTTTGGGCGAACTTAGACCACCCTAGACCAGCCCCCCAGACAACTTCCTGCTCACCCCACCCCTCCCCCACAACCACTTCCAGCCCATCTCATGCTGCTGTCACCTTGAACAACTTCCCGCTTCCAGCCTGCACGTGCTTGTGGCCTCACACTCAGCACCTGAACAACCTGAAGCATCTGTCCTAATATCCAGCCAACCTCATGCCATGTACTTCAGCGTGAACACCCTCAATCCCTTGCTTCTCCCTGTCATACAGGACAACCTCATGCTTCCCTGCTATCCATTTGGCTCTCTCCCATCCGAGGTTCAGATAACCTCAGGGTTCTGGGGGTGAACAAACCTACTTCCTCACAAATCCAAGGCCGGATGCCCTTTAGTCTCCCATCCCTACAGGTTGAGCCTGAACAACCTCACCATGATGCTACAAACTTAAGATCAGACAAACTTCTACACTCCCTTCTCTCACTTGACCCTAGACAATCTTTTTTTTTTTTTTTTTTTTTTTTTTGAGACAGAGTCTTGTTCTCTCGCCAGGCTGGAGTGCAGTGGCGCGATCTTGGCTCACTCCAACCTCCGTCTCCCGGGTTCAAGCAATTCTCGTGCCTCAGCCACCCAAGTAGGCATGTGCCACCACATCCGCTAATTTTTGTATTTTTAGTAGAGACAGGGTTTCACCATGTTGCAAGGCTGGTCTCGATCTCTTGACCTTGTGATCTGCCCGCCTTGACCTCCCAAAGTGTTGAGATTACAGGCATGAGCCACCGCACCCGGCCTTTTTTTTTTTTTTTTTTTTTTTAATTTAGACAGGGTCTTGCTCTGTCACCCAGACTGGTGTGATCTCAGTTCACTGCAGCCTCCACTTCCTAGGCTCAAGTGATCTTCCCACCTCAGCCTCCCCAGTAGTTGGGACTACAGGCACATGCCACCATGCTCAGCTAATTTGTGTATGTGTGTGTGTGTATATATATATTTTTTTTCTTTTTTTTTTCTTTTTTTTGAGACAGAGTCTTACTCTGTCGCCAGGCTGGAGTGCAGTGGTACGGTCTTGGCTCACTGCAACCTCCACCTCCTGGGTTCAACCGATCCTTCCGCCTCAGCCTCCCAAGTAGCTGGGACTACAGGCACTTGCCACCAAGCCCAGCTAATTTTTTTTCGTATTTTTAGTAAAGACAGGGCTTCACTATGTTGGCCAGGCTGGTCTCGAACTCCTGACCTCAAGTGATCCATCCGCTTTGGCCTCCCAAAGTGTTGGGATTATAGGCATGAGCCACCACGCCCAGCCAATTTCTGTACTTTTTTATAGATGGAGTCTCGTCATGTTGCCCAGGCTGGTCTCAAACTCCTGAGCTCAGACAATCCACCCACCTTGGCCTCCCAAAGTGTTGGGATTACAGTTGTAAGCCACCATGCCCAGCCCATCCTACAAATTTAAGGCCAGACAACCGTCTACACTTGCTTCTGTCACTTGTCCGTGGACAATCTTTTTTTTTGTTTGTTTGTTTTTTGAGACTGAGTCTCACTCTGTTACCCAGGATGGAGTGCAATGGCGCGATCTTGGCTCACTGCCACCTCCGCCTCCCAGGTTCAAGTGATTCTCTTGCCTCAGCCTCCCGAGTAGCTGGGATTACAGGCGCCTGAATCACGCCCAGCTATTTTTTTGTTTTGTTTTTAGTAGAGACAGGGTTTCACCATGTTGGCCAGGCTGGTCTCAAACTCCTGACCTCATGATCCACCTGCCTTGGCCTCCCAAAGTGCTGGGATTACAGGCCTGAGCCACCACACCCAGCTCTTTTTTTTGGGGGGGACAGAGTCTCATTCTGTTGCCCAGGCTGAAGTGCAGTGCTATGATCTCGGCTCACTGCAACCTCCGCCTTGCAGGTTCAAGCAATTATTCTCCTGCCTCAACCTCCCGAGTAGCTAGGATTACAGGAGTGTGCCACTACACCCGACTAATTTTTGTATGTTTCTTGGAGACGGGGTTTCACCACGTTCGTCAGGCTGGTCTCAAACTCCAGACCTCAAGTGATCCGCCCAGCTTGACCTTCCAAAGTGCTGGGATTACAGACATGAGCCACCGCGCCTGGCCGGACCCTGGACAATCTTACTGTCTTTTAAATTCTAGGAAGATGACCTTTGGTGCCTCTCTCTCACACTGAGCCTAGACAACCTCATGACCTTACATCATTGGGGTACAGATGTTTTATGTCCTCTTACCCCCACTCTGATTATCTTACCCCTACTCTCTGCCTGAACCACCTCACAGCCCTGTGAACCCAGGTAACCTTGGGCTCCATCCTTGAGCCTGGTCAGTCTGCTCCCCTCCCTGCTGCCCCCCATCCTGAGCTCCAAGCCATCCCTGCTCACCCCTGTCCCCAGGAAGGACTTGAAAGAGCTGATAATCACGGGCCCAGGGCTGGGGTACATTGTGCTTCTGCAAGGCTCGCTGGACCACGCTGGGGGCTTTGTCCTGACTGGTCAGCTGGAAGAGAGGGGCGGGAGGTGAGGCGAGGGCCCTGGCCCCAAGGGCAGGGCAGCCCCTAGCAGACCCCCAGCCCAGCCCCTCACCAAGATGCTTCGATACAGGTTCCCGTGGTCATTGTCGATGCTGATGCGGATGACACGGGCCTCCGAGCTCTGCTGCGCCGGGAGGGGGATTCGAGGGCTGCCCAGAGGCAAAGGGCCAGGTCTGGGCAGGTCCGGGCTCAGGGGCAGCTGCAGGCAGTAAGGGATGGAGGCTACAACTTGGCTCATCTGCAGATGCTGAGGGCTAAGAAAGCGTGAACTTCTCAGCCACCACTGGTGTATTCAATAACCCCACATTGAAAATCTCAAGAAAACATTGGCTGGGTGCAGTGGCTCACGCCTGTAATCCGCCAGCACCTTGGGAGGTCGAGGCGGGCGGATCACCTGAGGTCAGGAGTTCAAGACCAGCCTGGCCAACATGGTGAAACTCCGTCTCTACTAAAAATACAAAAATTAGTGGGGCTTGGTGGCGCATGCCTGTAATCCCAGCTACTCGGGAGGCTGAGGCAGGAGAATCACTTGAACTTGGGAGGCAGAGGTTGTAGTGGGCCAAGATCACGCCACTGCACTCCAGCCTGGGTGACAGAGCGAGACTCCATCTCAAAAATAAATAAATAAATAAATAAATAAATAAATAAAATAATAAAATAAAATAAAATCTCAAGAAAACATACTACTTCCCCCTACACATGCAGAGCCTGGGACATGCAACTAGGGTACATTCACAAGCCTTCATATACACCACCCTACCATATACAGACTTTGGTTCCCTATTACAGAAACAGACGTGAACGGTGTTCATATACACACAACCCGTGCTCATACACAAGAAATCCTGTGTACACACATATGCTGACAGTGGTTGGACACTCATAGCCCGTGCCAATGAACAACCCCACACATGATCTCGTGAATACTCAGGCCCACATTTCCTCTTCTGGTATGCAGATTCTTTTCTTTTTCTTTTTTTGAGATGGCGTCTTGCTCTGTTGCCCAGGCTGGAGTGCAGTGGTGCCATTTCTGCTCACTGCAGCCTCTGCCCCCCGGGTTCAAGCAATGCTCATGCCTCACCCTCCCAAGTAGCTGGGATTACAGGCTTGTGCCACTATGCCCAGCTAATGTTTTTATTTTTAGTAGAGACGGGGTTTCACCATGTTGGCCAGGATGGTCTCAATCTCTTGACCTCGTAATCCGCACACCTCGGCCTCCCAAAGTGCTTGGATTACAGGCTTGAGCCACTGCATCCAGCCTCTTTTTCTTTATAAACAGTGTCTCTCTCTGTCATGCAGGTTAGAGTGCTGTGGCATGATCGTAGCTCACTGCAGCCTCAAACTTCTGGGCTCAAGCGATCCTTCCACCTCAGCCTGCTGAGCCTACACCTCCCAGGTGTAGCCTGGGACTACACCCAGCTAATTTTTTTGACTTTTAATAGAGACAGGGTCTCACCATGCTGCCCAGGCTGGTCTTGAACTCCTGGCCTCAAGCAATCCTCCCACCTTGACCTCCCAAAGTGCCGGGATCACAGGCAATAGCCACCATGTCTGGCATGGTATGCAGATTCTTAGGGACATACATGTCCTCAAAAAAGTGTAGGCTGGGTGCGGTGGCTCACGCCTGTAATCCCAACACTTTGGAAGGCCAAGGTGAGTGGATCGTTTGAGCTCAGGAGTTCGAAATCCCCCTGGGCAACATGGCAAGACCTCATCTCTACTAAAGACAAAAAATAGCAGGGCATGGTGGTGCACACCTGTGGTCCTAGCTACTTGGGAGGCTGAGGTGGAAAGATCGCTTGAGCCTGGGGGAGGGGAGGAAGTTGCGGTGAGCTGAGATTGCACCACTGCACTTCAGCTTGGGTGACACAGCGAGAAGGCCCTGTTTCAAATAAAAAGGGGGTGTGATGTGATTGCACCCTAGATGCCCCATGGGTAAGCAGTTACACAGGTCCAGATCTGAGTACGAGTCAGATTGATGAGTGATCACCCAGACAGGGCCATGCAGATGCACGCAATGCCCTGGATGGATAACCCGGGTGCTCAGTGCGTCTCCTGTGTACACTCCTGGCCCCACAATCCTGTGTGTACACATGTGCATGCACACACGTGCACACACACACACAGAGCCTGGGTGCCCACAGGCCCGTATGCACACACAAGCTGTCTTGGTACCTTGGTGCTGGGGCCCTGGGGCCCTGGAGAGGCCGGGGGACTGCCAGCAGGAGCATCTCTGCTTCTGGGACTTGAGGGGGGAGACCCTGGGGACACACTGGGGGAGATGCAGAGGCCGAGGTGGGGTGGCTGTGCTGACTCCTGATCCCACGGTCCCTGGTCCCGTCACCAAGCAGAATGCTCACCTGGAGGTGGGGGATGAGGGGTTCCCGGGACTCCAACTAGGGAATGAGCTTTTCTCTCGGGAAAGCTTCCTAAGGAGGGGGACAGGGGATGAAGCTAAGGCAGGAGCAGCCCCTGCTGATATCTGCCCACATCACTCCCCACACACACACCCTGAAACTCACGCACTGAGACGCTTGGTGAGGCTGATCCGCCGTTGGATTCGTGGGGAGCTGGGGCAAGAGGCAGCTGGTGGCTCAATGACCCGGGAGAGCCGGTAGCTGAAGGGGTCAACATGTGGATGAGGTGGTGGGGGCAGGAAATACAGGGGATGGAGAGATAAGAGTTAGAATCAGTTGGGAGGTGGGTTTGGGGTGTAAGAGGGAGCAGCCAGAGGGTCAGGGTGGTAAATGAGGGTCATTAAGCATCAAGGTCTTATCAGAGATGGGACAGGATGGCTGGTCAAGAGGTCACAAAGAGATTCACAGGGTGGCACTAAGGAATCAAATTGGGTCAGGATTAAAGTCAGGGTCAGGACCGGGCGTGGTGGCTCACGCCTGTAATCCTAGCACTTTGGGAGGCCGAGGCGAGAGGATTGCTTTGGGTCAGGAGTTTGAAACCAGCCTGGCCAATATAGTGAAATCCCATCCGTACTCAAAATGCAAAAAATTAGCCGGGTGTGGTCGCTTGTGCCTATAATTGCGGCTACTCGGGAGGATGAGGCAGGAGAATTGCTTGAACCTGGGAGGCGGAGGCTGCAGTGAGCCGAGATCGTGCCACTGCACTCCAGCCTGGGCAACAGAGTGAGAGTCTGTTTCAAAAATAAATAAATAAAATAAAAAAATAAAGTCAGGGTCAGACTGGGGTCTGGTCACCACTGGGGTCAATGGTTAGGGTCACAGTTATATAGAAAGAAGGTACACAGTTGTGATAGTCAAGTTGGACAAATAAACACGAAAGTTGGAGACAGTTACTCAGAACTGAGGATCAAGGGTTGGGGTCAGAGTCAGATTCAGATGAGGGGTCATGGGTCAGATAGGACCAAACATGGGGAAGTCAACACTTGGGACAGTTGAGTTGAATGACCAGCTGAATATGCTAAAGTTGAGGTCAGAAAATCAGATGGGGTCAAAATTGAGATGAGAGATCAACTGTGACTTTTTTTTTCTTTTTTTTTTGAGACAGGGTCTTACTCTGTTACCTAGACTGGAGCTGCAGTGGTGTCATTCTGGCTTACTCCAACCTCCGCCTCCCAGGCTCCAGCGATCCTCCCACCTCAGCCTCCCAAGTAGCTGGGACCAATGGCACTCAACACCACGTTCAGCTAATTTTTGTATTTTTTTGTAGAGATGGGGTTTCACCATGTTGCCCAGGCTGGTCTCAAACTCCTGGGCTCAAGCGATCCACCCACCTTGGCCTCCCAAGTGCTGGGATTACACGTGTGAACCACCAGGCCCAGTCTATTTGATTCCGCTGGAGATACTGCAAGGTCACAGGTTGTAGGGGGGTCAGGGCTCAAGAGGGGGTCTTGGGAGGAGCTGGAGGTGTGTACGGAATGGGTGGAATCCAGTTCGTGACCAGGATCGGCTGGGGTGGGGCCAGGACAGGCTACAGGGTGGTCACCTCTGCTCCTCACTGAGCTGGCGCTGGGCATGCAGGGCAGCCAGGATGGGCGGGTGGGGGCTCAGGGTGTAGCTCTGACAGCGCCTCTGCAGCTGCTGGATGCGGGCCAGGATCTCCCACTCCTGGGGGATGAGCCTCTGAGACTCTACCCCTGGCCCACCCCCACCCCACCTTCAGGCACCACCCCCACACCCAGTGTAGCCTCCACTCACCTTCCTCCTCTTCTCAAAGTTAATGAGATCCCCCTGGGGGCAAAGTATGTCTGAATTGCAGCACCCAGGGTCAAGGGTCAAGGTCAGGGGCCGGGATGTCAGGACCCCCACTGTGGGGCGGTGTCAGGAGTACAGGTAGGATCAAGGGTGGATATCGGGGCAAGTGGAGCTGGGGTCGGGGTCAAGGGTCAGGGATCAGACCTCCAACATATCCGGCAGGGCTGTGTCCAGCATAACCAGGTCCGTGAGGAAGGTGCCAAGGTAGGGGACAGGGCCTGGGGGTGGTTTCTGTGGCCCCCAAAGCTCCAGTCACTCAGGGCCATAACTGATCCCATCAACCTCCACGCCCCTCCCTGAAGATCCCACTTGTCCCCATCCCAAACTGTAATCACTCACCGAGGGCAGGCTGCCTGGGGTGTTGTCCTCTTTTTGGGATCCCTCAGTGGCCTCCTCCTGGGGGAAGAGAAAAACTGAGCAGGCCTGGGGTCTCCTGGGACAATTCCTCAGGGAGGATGCCTGCAGACCCATTGTATGTACCCTTTGTGCTTTGAGTAATCAAAAGCCAGTGGTAGGCCAGGCGTGATGGCTCAGGCCTATAATCCCAGCACTGTGGGAGGCCAAGGCAAGCAAATCATGTAAGGTCAGGAGTTCGAGACCACCCTGGCCAATATGGTGAAACCCCATCTCTACTAAAAATACAAAAATTAGCCAGGTTTGGTGGCTCACGCCTGTAGTCCCAGCTACTTGGGAGGCTGAGGCAGAAGGATAGCTTGATCCTGGGAAGCAGAGGCTGCAGTGAGCCGAGATCGCACCACTGCACTCCAGCCTGGGCGACAGAGCAAGACTCCCTCTCAAAAAAAAAAACTATTTTTCAAAGGCCGGACATGGTGGCTCACGCCTGTAATCCCAGCACTTTTGAAGGCTGAGGCTGGCGGATCACATGAGGTAAGGAGTTTGAGACCAGCCTGGCTAACAGAGTGAAACCCTGTTTCTACTAAAAAGTAGCTGGGCATGGTAGCTTGTTTCTGTAATTCCAGCTACTTGGGAGGCTGAGGCAGGAGAATCATTTGAACCCGGGAGGCGGAGGTTGCAGTGAGCCGAGATCGCACCATTGCACTCCAACTTGGGCAACAAGACCAAAACATCTCAAAAAAAAAAAAAAGAAGAAGCCAGTGGTGAAGGCCCACTCTAGAAGCCAGACCACCTTGGGTGGGGGTAGAGAGGTGACAAACAGCAGGGAGAGGGCTCCCTCATAAGAGGTGGGGCTTGTAGGGGTGGTGGCCCCCAGGGTTGGCCTTAACAAGGAGAGAATCCTTGTCTGCAGCTGGATGGCACAGGCCTGCCAAGGATCTCCTGGGTATCCTGAATTTGCTGTTGTTTATTTACTTTTTATTTTATTTTATTTTGAGATGGAGTCTCACTTTGTCACTCAGGCTGGAGTGTAGTGGCATGATCTTGGCTCACTGAAGCCTCGACAGCCCAAGTTCAAGCGATCCTCCCACCTCAGCCTCCTGAGTAGCTGGGACTACAGGTGTGCACCACCAACGCCCAGCTAATTTTTGTACTTGTTTGCAGAGATGGGGTTTTGCCATGTTGCCCAGGTTGGTCTCGAACTCCTGGGCTCAAGTGATCCTCTCACCTCGGCCTCCCAAGTGCTGGGATTATAGGCGTGAGCCACAGAGCCCAGCTCATGTGTTGTTTTAGGTGCCGGGCAGGCAACAGTGAACAAAAAAAGCAAAATTTGGCTGAGAGTGATGGCTCACACCTGTAATGCCAGCACTTTGGGAAGCCAAGGCAGGTGGATCACCTCAGGTCAGGAATTCAAGACCACCCTGGCCAACATGACAAAACCCCCTCTCTACCAAATACAAAAATTAGCCAGGCGTGGTGGCGGGTGCCTGTAATCTTAGCTACTTGGGAGGCTGAAGCAGAGAGAATTGCTTGATCCTGAGAGGTGGAGGTTGCAGTGAGCCAAGATCATGCCACTGCATTCCAGTCTGGGTGACGGAGTGAGACTCCATCTCAATACAAAGAAACAAACAAAAAAAAAACAGTGAAGACAACAACAACAAAAAACCAGATGTGTGGTTTTGGGGATGATGGAGGCTGGGAAGGCCTCTCAGAGGCAGGGACATTTGATCAGAGACCAGAAGGAGGTGAGTGAGCAAGTTGCATCCACACCTTGATGGGTGGAGAATGTTCCAGGCCCAAGCATCTATTCTAGATTCACTGTAAAAACCACTGCCTGATTGCAATGAGAATCTAAATCTTGCTTATAAATAAGCCAGACTTTTGACACACATTTTTTAGTTTTGCTTATCAAGGTAAAGTCCTCAGAACATTTTTTTTTTTTGTTCCCACCCTGTGCTATGACTCTGGCCTTAAGTAACCTTTTCTTTGTGCTTTCTTGTGTTTTGCTGAGTGAATAAATAGGGCAGTCACTGACTGTGAACTACAATGCAGGAAGTAAAGGAAAGAAAAACGTGCAACCCGCCAGGGACAAGGGTAAGGTCATTGCTGAGCGGTAGGGAAGGACAGAGTGTCCTGACCACAGCAGGGCGATTCTCCCTGCCTGGCCCCAAGTCCCTCCCCCAACTTCCAGGGCCTAAAATCCCCGGGGTCTGCATCCATCTCTACCTGGAAAAGAATCTCTCTACTGCTGAGGTGGTTGTTCTCATCGGAGAAAATCTGCGAAAGTTTCCTGAAAGTAGATAGCGGTTCCCTGGGAGGACAGGAAAAGGGTGGTCAGGGGTCAGTGGCTTGGAAGGGTCAGACCTGGGATGGGATGGGGAAGAGGTCCCGCCCCAGCTCACCGGCTTACGGCCCCCCAGCTGCGCTTGAGCCGGTAGATGGGGTTAGATTGCAGGGCGGACAGGATGGCGCGCAAGGAGGAGAAGTTCCGCAGTTCTCGGCAGCGCTGCCAGGCGGTGGGGACGCAGGTCAGACCCAGGCATTATTCACCTTTCATCCTGAAACTTCTTTGTCTTATTTTTTTTTTTTATTTTTTTATTTTTAGAGATAGGGTCTATGGCCCAGGCTGGAGTGCAGTGGCTCGATCATAACTCACTGGCAGCCTGGAACTCCTGGGCTTAAGCGATCCACATGCCTCAGCCTCCTGCCTCAGTAGCTGGGACTACAGGAGCTTGCCATCGTGTACGGCTAATTTTTATTTTATTTTTATTTATTTTTATTTTTTATTTTTTAGACAGAGTCTCGCTTTATCCTCCAGGCTGGAATGCAATGGCCCGATCTCGGCTCACTGCAACCTCCGCCTCCCAGGTTCAAGCGATTATCCTGCCTTAGCCTCCCAAGTAGCTGGGATGACAGAGGCACACCACCACACCAGGCGAATTTTTTTTTTTTGTAAGTCTAATTTTTTTTTTTTTTTTTGAGACGGGGTCTCGCTCTGTCGCCCAGGCTGGAGTTCAGTCTCCGCTCACTGCAAGCTCCGCCTCCCGGGTTCGGGCCAGTCTCAGTCTCAGCCTCCCGAGTAGCTGGGACCACAGGAGCCCGCCACCACGCCCGGCTAATTTGTTTTGTATTTTTTAGTAGAGACGGGGTTTCACCGTGTTAGCCAGGATAATCTCGATCTCCTGACCTCGTGATCCGCCCGCCTCGGCCTCCCAAAGTGCTGGGATTACAGGCGTGAGCCACTGCGCCAGGCCTGTAAGTCTAATTTTTAATTTTTTTGTTTGTTTGTTAAGCAACATTGGTCTCACTATGTTGCCTAGTCTGGTCTCAAACTCTAGGGTTCAAGCGATCCTCCCTCTCCCCAGAGGGTTGGGATTACAGGAGTGAGTCACTGCGCCCGGCCTGATCCCGTGACTTGTGACGCCAGATCGGACACCTGGGTCTTGTCTCACGGACAAGCTACTAAGACTCCCACTCATGCCCTGGGAGTCCCTTCCTCCCTCCTCCCTCGGGCTCCAGCCCCTCCCCTAGCTGCCCCTCCAGCCCCTACCTCCGATCTTGACTTCTCGGGTCCGGGCTCCCTACTTCTCCCAGCTCCCTTGGGACCTAGTCGTGCCCGCAGCCTCTCTGCAGGACCCAGACCCTCCTCCCTGAACCCAAGTCTTACCCTAGGCATCAACTTTCCACCCCCTTCCCTCCCTCGCCTAGACACGCCCCTGTCTCTCTCCCGAGCCCTCGTTTCTTCTGGCCCCAGGGCCCGCCCCTGCATCCCCTCCCCGCGCCCCCAACACACCTGGGCGATGCGGATCCACTTCTCCAGCCGCTGCGCCCTCTGCGGGGCGGTCAAGCCCGGCGCTCCGAGCACGGAACCCAGCACACAGCCGGTCACTGTGTTGAACTGGGCCACGGTGGCGCGCACAGTGGGGGAGGCGCCTGCAGCCCCGGGCCGGTCCCTCTGCGACCACACGGAGCCCAGGCACTCGTAGGGCCTCACCTTGGAGAAGAGCTCCTGGGCCAGGGGAGGGGTGTGGGATTGGTGCTTAGCAGAACCTGTCCCCTCACTGTGGCTCATCCCGACCCAGTCTGGGATCCTCACCAAGTCCATGAGGGTCAGCTGCTCGGCCACCACGTCCACGCTGAAGTCCAGGAGCTGGGGAGCTTGAGGCATGAGTCCTTCCTCTTCCTCCGCGCAGGCCTCTGCAGAGTCTGGGTCAGAAGTTTGGGCAACTCTGGGAGGTCCTGATCATTAGAAAAGGTTACAAACTCTCAAGTTTGAATCCAAGACTGGCTGTGTGACCTTGGGCAAGTCCCTGTCCCTCTCTGAGCCTCACTTTCCTCATTTGTAAAACGGACAACTCTCTGAATTTTTTTTTTTTTCTGTGACAGTCTTACTCTGTTGCCCAGGCTGGAGTGCAATGGCACAATCTTAGCTCACTGCAACCTCAGCCTCCTGGGTTCAAGTGATTCTCCTGCCTCAGCCTTCGGAGTAGCTGGGATTACAGGCATGTGCCACCATGCCCAGCTAATTTTAGTTGTTTTTTTTTTTTTTTGAGACGGAGTCTCGCTCTGTCACCCAGGCTGGAGTGCAGTGGCCGGATCTCAGCTCACTGCAAGCTCCGCCTCCCGGGTTTACACCATTCTCCTGCCTCAGCCTCCCGAGTAGCTGGGACTACAGGCGCCTGCCACCTCGCCCGGCTAAGTTTTTTTTTGTATTTTTAGTAGAGACGAGGTTTCACTGTGTTAGCCAGGATGGTCTCGATCTCCTGACCTCGTGATCCGCCCGTCTCGGCCTCCCAAAGTGCTGGGATTACAGGCTTGAGCCACCGCGCCCGGCTAATTTTAGTATTTTTAATAGAGACGAGCTTTCACCATGTTGGCCAGGCTGGTCTCAAATTCCTGACTTCAAGTGATCTGTCCACCTGGGCCTCCCAAAGTGCTGGGATTACAGGTGTGAGCCACCACGCCCGGCCCTGAATGTTTTTAGATGTAACAGCAACAGTAATGTTCACTAAGCAGCTAGTGTGGATTTATTCAGTAACTCACCACACCAGTCCAGTGAGGGAGGTACTGTTATTTATCCAGCTTTTACAGTTAAGGAAAGGGAGGCAAAGAACAATTTGTCACACCTTCGGTGAATGGCAGGTCGGGGATTTGAAGCCAGGTGCTCAAAGGCCAGAGAAGAAAATAAAGCTTTGTGATTTTGAATATGTATTAGGATAAGATTAATCTGACCTTTTTGGAAAGAGGTGATATGACTTCCTGGTTCAGGGAAGGCTATTGTCAGAAAGTCTCAAACTCAAATGCAAACTTGTCCACTAGTTTGCTGTGTAAAGCATGTGTTTTAACCTCCCTGTGCCTTTTTTTTTTTGGATGGAGTCTGACTCTGTCTCCCAGGCTGGAGTGCAATGGTGCGATCTTGGCTCACTGCAACCTCTGCCTCCGGGGTTCAACCAATTCTCCTGCCTCAGTCTCCCAAGTTGCTGGGATTACAGGCAAGAGCCACCACGCCCAGCTAACTTTTGTATTTTTTTTTTTTTTGAGGCGGAGTCTCGCTCTGTCGCCCAGGCTGGAGTGCAGTGGCGCGATCTCGGCTCACTGCAAGCTCCGCCTCCTGGGTTCCCGCCATTCTCCTGCCTCAGCCTCCCGTGTAGCTGGGACTACAGGCGCCGCCACCACGCCCGGCTAATTTTTTTGTATTTTTAGTGGAGACGGGGTTTCATTGTGTTAGCCAGGATGGTCTCGATCTCCTGACCTTGTGATCCGCCCGTCTCGGCCTCCCAAAGTGCTGGGATTACAGGCTTGAGCCACCGCGCCCGGCCTAACTTTTGTATTTTTGTATAGACAGGGTTTCACCATGTTGGCCAGGTTGGTCTTGAACTCCTGACCTCAAGTGATCTGCCTGCCTCGGCTTCCCAAAGTTCTGGGATTGCAGGAGTGAGCTGTGTCTTCTTTTTGAAACAGGCTCTCACTTTGAAACAGGGTCATACAAGCTGGAGTACAGTGGTGTAATCACAGTTCACCGCAGCCTCAACCTTTTGGGCTCCAGCGATCCTCCTGCCTCAGCCTCCTGAGTTGCTGGAACTACGGGCACACACCCAGCTAATTTTTTATTTTTTGTACAGACAGGGTCTCATTATGTTGCCAGGCTGGTCTCAAACACCTGAGCTTAAGTGATCCTCCCTCTTGGCTTCCCAAAGTTTTGAGATTGCGGGCGTGAGCCAGTGCACCTGGCTGTGGATTTTGTTTTTGTTTTTGTTTTTTATTTTTATTTTTATTTTTTTTTGAGACGGAGTCTCACTCTGTCCCCCTTGCTGGAGTGCATTGGCCGGATCTCAGCTCACTGCAAGCTCCGCCTCCCGGGTTCAGGCCATTCTCCTGCCTCAGCCTCCCGAGTAGCTGGGACTACAGGCGCCCGCCACCTCGCCCGGCTAGTTTTTTTGTATTTTTTAGTAGAGACGGGGTTTCACTGTGTTAGCCAGGATGGTCTCGATCTCCTGACCTCGTGATCCACCCGTCTCGGCCTCCCAAAGTGCTGGGATTACAGGCTTGAGCCACCGCGCCCAGCCTGTTTTTGTTTAAGATCATGCATACCAGATTACTATAAAGCGCTCAACAAATATGAATAATTTTATTTAGTGGATTTTGATGGTGGCGCCCCCTAAGGGAAACTTTGGAAGTTGGGATCTTGAATTGTGCCCTCCAGCCTCCAAATGTCTCTCCAGACATTTGTGTCTTTGAATAACCTGTTTGTGGCTGGTACCAAGGTAGTGACTTATCTCAGTTGAGTGTTCACAGGTGCAGATCGGACTCCTTGTTCTACTTTTTCCCCACTTCTCACTACTGCACTTGATTTGTCTTTAAGAAAGGAAGAAGGGGCCTGTCACAGTGGCTCACGCCTGTAATCCCAGCACTTTGGGAGGCTGAGATGGGAGGATCACAAGGTCAGGAGATCGAGACCATCCTGGCTAACACAGTGAAACCCCGTCTCTACTAAAAAATAGAAAAAATTAGCCAGGCGTGGTAGGGGGCGCCTGTAGTCCCAGCTACCCGGGAGGCTGAGGCAGGAGAATGGCCCGGAAGGCAGAGCTTGCAGTGAGCCGAGAACATGCCACTGCACTCCAGTCTGGGTGACAGAGCGAGACTTCATCTCAAAAAACAAAACAACAACAACAACAAAAAAACAAAAACACAAAGGAAAAACTTGTTTGCAATAATCTGCACCTACCTACAACCTGACTATTTTGTTCATAAACACAAATTGTTTTGGCTCCAAGAATACAAGGACCATGAAAGTCTGGGCTTTGTTTTGTTTGCAAATTGCAAATGTTCACAAGTTTGGAAAATGATGTCCCCAGCACCTATGTTGCTGTCTTTGCCTCACCAGTGTCCTCCCCTGCATTAGTTGGTGCTTGTTGCTGTCAGTACAAAGCACTGTGACACTACACTGTGATGCTAGGACAGGCAAAGACACGGGACAACCTCATCATGTGTCCCAGTGGGGCATACCCAAGCATTACCCACTGAACACATGGTTTATTGCTGTGTAAATTACTCTCACTTTCCTCCTCCTTTGTACTAGTTATGGCATCATACTATGATTTTATTTATTTATTTTGTGACGGAGTCTTGCTCTGTTGCCCAGGCTGGAGTGCAGTGGCTCGATCTCTGCTCACAGCAACCTCCGCCTCCAGGGTTCAAGCGATTCTCCTGCCTCAGCCTCCTGAGTAGCTGAGACTACAGGAGGTGCCACTACACCCAGCTAATTTTTTTCTTTTTTTTTTAAGTAGTGATGGGGTTTTACCATGTTGGCCAGACTGGTCTCGAACTCCTGACCTCAGGTGATCCCCCTGCCTCGGCTTCCCAAAGTGCTGGGATTACAGGTATGAGCCACCGCACCCTGCCCCACCCAATACTATTATTTTAAAATAATCTTTGTAAATCTGTATAATTACCTCTTTCCTCTTGAATTAGGACCAGTGGCATTGCAAAATATTAGTTTTTAGAAGTGGATACTGGGCTGGGCACGCCTATAATCCCAGCACTTTTGGAGGTTGAGGTAGGAGGATTGCTTGAGACCAGGAGTTTGAGACCAGCCGGGGCAGCATAGTGAGACCCCATCTCTACAGAAAAAAAATTTTTTAAGTTGCGCATCCTGATGCACACCTGTAGTCTCACCTACTCAAGAGGCTTAGGAGGGAGGATCTCTTGAGCCCAGGAGGTCAAGGCTGCAGTGAGCTGTGATCATGCCATGGCATTCCAACCTGGGTGACAGAGCAAGAAACTGTCTCCCCGCTCAAAAAAAAGTGGTCACTGGAAAAAAAATGCCCCTACATCTAATCAAACCTTTAAATGTTACAGCAATAATGGGGATAGAGAAACATGCTACATGAAACTATGAGGAAGCAAACAGGTAAGTCCAAAAGAGTGTGAGGCATACCTCAGGACACATGACCCATGTTTTTTGCCCTCTAACGGCTTCAAACAAGAGGCAATGGGGATCTGTTACAGAATAAAAGAGACTTAAGAACAAACCACCAGTCAGGGGTGGTGACTCATGTCTGTAATCCTGACACTTTGGGAGGCCAAGGTGGGCAGATCTCTAGAGGTTAGGAGTTCGAGACCAGCCTGGCCAACATGGCGAAACCCCCTCACTACTAAAAATACAAAAATTAGCTGAGCGTAATGGTGGGCACCTGTAATCTCAGCTACTCAGGCGGCTGAGGCAGGAGAATCACTTGAACCCAGGAGGCAGAGGTTGCCGTGAGCCGAGATCACGCCATTGTACGCCAGCCTGGACGACAGAGTGAGACTCCATCTCAAAAAACAAAAGGAGGCCGGGCGCGGTGGCTCAAGCCTGTAATCCCAGCACTTTGGGAGGCCGAGATGGGCGGATCACGAGGTCAAGAGATCGAGACCATCCTGGCTAACACAGTGAAACCCCGTCTCTACTAAAACAAAAAAATACAAGGCCGGGCGCGGTGACTCAAGCCTGTAATCCCAGCACTTTGGGAGGCCGAGACGGGCGGATCACGAGGTCAGGAGATCGAGACCATCCTGGCTAACATGGTGAAACGCCGTCTCTACTAAAACATACAAAAAAACTAGCCGGGCGAGGTGGCGGGCGCCTGTAGTCCCAGCTACGCGGGAGGCTGAGCCAGGAGAATGGCGTGAACCTGGGAGGCGGAGCTTGCAGTGAGCTGAGATCCGGCCACTGCACTGTAGCCTGGGTGACAAAGCAAGACTCCGTCTCAAAAAAAAAAAAAAAAAAATACAAAAAATACTAGCCGGGAGAGGTGGCGGGCGCCTGTAGTCCCAGCTACTTGGGAGGCTGAGGCAGGAGAAGGGCGTAAACCCGGGAGGCGGAGCTTGCAGTGAGCCGAGATCCGGCCACTGCACTCCAGCCTGGGCGACAGAGCGAGACTCCGTCTCAAAAAAAAAAAAAAAAAGGAAAAAGAGAGAGAGAAGCAAACAACCAAATGCCTTGAGTAGATCTTCTTTGGATTTCAATTTGAAGAGACAACTACTCCTCCTTCCCGCAGCTCTGTCGCCTAGACTGGAGTGTAGGGACATGCTCACAGCTCGCGGCAGCCTTGATTTTCCGCGGTCAAGAGATCCTCCCACCTCAGCATCCTAAGTAGCTGGGACTATAGGCACGTGCCACAACACCCGGCCAGAAACAACTGTCAAAAAAATGTAGGGCTGGGCGCGGTGGTAGGCACCTGTGGTCCCAGCTACTCAGGAGGCTGAGGTGGGAGGGTCAGGAGTTCAAGCCCAGCCCAGGCAAAATAGGAAGATCCAGTGTCCAAAAAAACAGGTTCAGGGGCAAGTGGGGGATTTGAATATTTGAATATGGACTGGGTATTTTTTCTTTTTTTGAAGCAGGGTCTCGCTCTGTCACCTAGGCTGGAGTACAGTGGCACAGTCACGGCTCACTGCAGCCTTGACCCTCCCAGGCTAAAATGATCCTCTTGTCTCAGCCTCCCAAGCAGCTGGGACTATAGGCAGTCACCACCACGCTCTGCTAATTATTTGTAGACACGAAATTTCAACATGTTGCCCAGGATGGTCTCAATCTCCTGGGCTCAAGCCATCCATCTGCCTTGGCCTCCTAAAGTGCTGGGATTGCCAGCAGGAGCCTCTGCTTTCGGCTTGGACTGGGTATTTTTTTATATCAAATATTTCTGATTTTTAAAAAAATTATAAACATGAAGGTTACTAAAAAAAATAAAAATAAAAGGGCCGGGCGCCGTGGCTCATGCCTGTAATCCCAACAATTTGGGAGGCCGAGGTGGGCAGATCACCTGAGGTCAGGAGTTTGAGACCAGCCTGACCAACATGGAGAAACTCGCCCCCCCAACTAAAAATACAAAATTAGTCAGGAGTGGTGCTACGCGCCTGTAATCCCAGCTACTCGGGAGGCTGAGGCAGGAGAATCACTTGAATCCAGGAGGCGGAGGTTAAGGTGAGCTGAGATCCTGCCATTGCACTCTAGCCTGGGCAACAAGAGTGAAACTCCATCTCAAAAAAAAAAAAAGCAAGCCTGTTGTCAGACGTGTGTTCCCAAAACATTTATGTGTGAACTGACATAAGCCTGGGATTTGTTTTAAAATCATCCTGAAAATATTTTTTTTTTGTGAAATTGATCATCGTTGATGATAGGCGATGGATGTCTGAATGTTCGTCATACTATTCTCTCCACTTTTGTATATGTCTGAAATTTTCCATAGCAAAAAGTGAACCCAAAATTAAGTTCTTAAAATAAAATAGATGAGCATGGTGGTCATCTACTTTCTTCTAAACTACATGGTGCAAGTGTAGTCTTAGCTACTCAGGAGGCTGAGGTAGGAGGCTCACTTGAGCCCAGGAGTTCAAGTCCAGCCTGGGCAACACAGCAAGACCCTGTATCTAAAAATAAAATTCATAGTAGGGTGCGGTGGCTCACACCTGTCATCCCAGCACTTTGGGAGACCAAGGCAAGCGGATCACAAGGTCAGGAGATCGAGACCATCCTGGCTAGCATGGTAAAACCCCGTCTCTACTAAAACTACAAAAAATTAGCCGGATGTGGTGGCACACACCTGTAGTCGCAGCTACTCGGGAGGCTGAGGAAGGAGAATCACTTGAACCCAGGAGGCAGAGGTTGCAGTAAGCCAAGATCGCAGCATTGCACTCCAGCCTGGGCGACAGAGCAAGACTCTGTCTCAAAATAAAATAAAAATAAAAATAATAAAATAAAATTAAAAAGTGTGTCCCTGAGCCTAGCACATAGAAGGTTTTAAACAAGTGTTCATTTTCTCCTCTGACCTCAAGGAAACTAGGGCAGCACTTTCCATAGAATTCTCTGCAATGGTGGAAAAATTCTCTAGCTGCTCTGTCCAGTGTGGTGGCTGAACACTCAAAATGTGGGTAGTGGGATTGAAGACTTGAATTTTTGCCTTTGCTTGACTGGATTTTGAAAAAAAAAAAGTAGGCCAGGCATGGTAGCGCACGCCTGTAATCCCAGCACTTTGGGAGACCCAGGTGGGTGGATCACCTGAGGTCAGGAGTTCGAGACCACATTGACCAACATAGTGAAACGCTGTCTCTAATAAAAAGACAAAATTAGCTGGTGTGGTGGCAGGTGCCTATAATTCCAGCTACTTGGGAGGCTGAGGCAGGAGAATCTCTTGTATCCAGGAGGCAGTGTTGCAGTGTGCTGAGATGGCGCCACTGCACTCCAGCCTGGGCGACAGAGCGAGACTCTGTCTCAAAAAAAAAAAAAGGATGGCATGGTGGCTCATGCCTGTAATCCCAGCAATTTGGGAGGCCGAGGTGGGCGGATCACGAGGTCAGGAGATTGAGGCCATCCTGGCTAACACAGTGAAACCCCGTCTCTACTAAAAATGCAAAAATTAGCCGGGCGTGGTGGCACACGCCTGTAATCCCAGCTACTCAGGAGGCTGAGGCAGGAGTATCACTTGAACCCGGGAGGCGGAGCTTGCAGTGAGCCGAAATGATGCCATTGCACTCCAGCTTGGGCAACAAGAGCGAAACTCTGTCTCAAAAAAAAAAAAAGGTAGGGTCAGGCACAGTGGCTCACACTTACAATCCCAGCACCCTGAGAGGTTGAGGCCAGAGGATTGCTTAAGCCCAGGAGTTCGAGACCAGCCTGGGCAACATGGCAAGACCCCATCTCTAAAAAGAAAATACCTGAATTTTATTTAATTTTAATTAATTTAAATAGCGACAGGGGCTAGGGGCCACCACATTGGACTATGGAGCTCTAATGACTTGGAATCAGCTGGAAAAATCATATATATATACATATATATACACACACACATATATATACACACACACACATATATATATATATATGCCTTTATATACATAAATAACTGAGACTTTGTCACCAGGGTTGGAGAAGTAGCTGCTGCTTTGTAAATTGAACAGGAATGTGGCCACTATAATCTGGAGATTAAGCCATGGGGATTAGGGATAAAGATGCTTTTGTGATGCGGATCAGATCAAACACAGATGGGTGAAAGATGATACTTCCTAAGCAGGATGCAATTATTCAGCAAACTAATCTGTGTTGTTCCTGCCCCTGGGGACAGAGCTGGGAGCAAGAACAACAGGTCCTCCTCTCACGCACTCACAGTCTATGAGATGAGCGAAAGCCAATAAGTAAGTAAGGAGGCTGCGCATGCACAATGGCTCATGGCTGTAATCCCAGCATTTTGGGAGGCCAAGGCAGGCGGATCACTTGAGTTTAGGAGTTTGAGACCAGCCTGGGCAACATGGCACAATCTCACCTCTACAAAATAATTAGCTGGGCATGGTGATACGCGCCTATGGTCCCGGCTACACGGGAGGCTGAGACAGGAGAATGACTTGAGCCCAGGAGGTGGAGGTTGGAGTGAGCGGAGATCGTGCCACTGCACTCCAGCCTGGGTAACTGCGAGACTGTGTCTCAAAAAAAAAAAAAAAATTGAAAAAAGAATTTCAAAAACAAGAAACATTTTACAGACTGGGTATAGTGGCTTGCGCCTGTAATGCCAGCACTTTGGGACACCCAGACGGGAGGATCGCTGGAGCCCAGGATGTTGAGCCTGCAGTGAACCATGATGGAGACATGCACTCCAGCCTGGGGAACAGAGCAAGACCCTGACTCAAAAAAAATAATAATAATTAAAGACAAGTATCAAGGCAATGGTATGCAGCTAGAAACACAGGCATCCTGACCCAATGGCACCAAGGAGGGAAAAGTATTAGACATGTGCTAATACTTCAGACAAAGATATTTATTTATTTATTTATTTATTTATTTATTTATTTATTTTTTGAGACGGAGTCTCGCTCTGTTGCCCAGGCTGGAGTGCTGTGGCTGGATCTCAGCTCACTGCAAGCTCCGCCTCCCGGGTTCCCGCCATTCTCCTGCCTCAGCCTCCCGAGTAGCTGGGACTACAGGTGCCCGCCACCTCGCCCGGCTAGTTTTTTGTATTTTTTAGTAGAGACGGGGTTTCACCGTGTTAGCCAGGATGGTCTCGATCTCCTGACCTCGTGATCTGCCTGTCTCGGCCTCCCAAAGTGCTGGGATTACAGGCTTGAGCCACTGCGCCCGGCCCAGATTTTTATTTTTTTAAGATGGAGTTTCCCTCCTGTTGCCTAGGCTGGATGGCAGTGGCGTGATCTCAGCTCACTGCAATCTCCGCCTCCCGGGTTCAAGCGATTCTTCTGCCTCAGCCTCCCGAGTAGCTGGGATTACGGGCATGCACCACCACGCCTGGCTAATTTTGTATTTTTAGTCGGGACGGGGTTTCTCCATGTTTGTCAGACTGGTCTCGAACTCCTGACCTCAGGTGATATGCCCGCCTCAGCCTCCCAAACTGCGGGATTACAGGCGTGAGCCACCATACCTGGCCGACAAAGAATTATTATCCCCATTGTACAGATGAGGAAATTGAGACTTAGAGTTAAAAACCTTGCTTAAGTTTTGCAGCTCTGAGAGGGGAGAGAAAGTCTGTGTGGGAAGAAGCAGGCAAGAAAGGCCTTCTCAGAACACGACTAGATCCAAAAACCCCTCACCTGTCCACACCTGAGGTGGCTCCTCTTCCTGCTCTCGCTTAGCCTCCTCCAAAAAATCTTCCAGAAGCTTCTCTGCTTTTCGAGCCTCAGCGCTCCCTGGGGCCGCCCAGCCCAGAAAGGTTCGGACACTGCCCAGGTCTGAGTGGGCAGGGGGGTCTCGGAAATCCTGAGGGTGGTCCTGCAGCCAGGAGCCCAGCACTGACACCACAGCCCTGGCCAGAGAGGCAGGGTCTCAGAACTGGGTCCAGAGTAGGGGACCTAGAATGTGACTCCTGGTATGTTTTTTTTGAGACAGAGTCTCACTGTGTCACCAAGGCTGCAGTGCAGTGGCCTGATCTTGACTCACTGCAACCTCAGCCTCCCGAGTAGCTGGGACTACAGGCGTGTAGCACCATGCCCAGCTATTTTTTTTTTTTTTTGTATTTTTAGTAGAGACAGGGTTTTGCCATGTTGGCCAGGCTGGTCTCTAACTCCTGACCTCCAGTGATCCACCTGCCTCTGCCTTCCAAAGTGCTGGGATTACAGGAGTGAACCACCAAGCCGGGCTTGACTCCCAGTCTTTTATTACCCAACCAGCAATTTTCAAAACCCCAGGCCAACTGCTAACCTTTGACCTCTGGGATTTCCCTCCCGGCACTCCCCTATCCAGATGAAGGACCCACCTCAGGTTCTTGTTGAAGCTCAGATCTTGTACCGCTGTCTTCTTGATCTCTACCCTGGGAAGAAGTCCCCCAGGAGGTGAAGAAGGGGGAAGCTAGAGGGGGCTTAGGAAGAGGGCTCTGGGTTTGGGAGGTGTTTCCTGGTTCCACACCTGAGGAGGTGGAGGGGGGTGCCCAACTGGGGGTCTAGGGTGGGGAACATGGAGGTTCTGGTTCACTACTGACCCAGGAGGTGGGGGCGGCGGCATTGGTGGCAGCAGAAAGCCCAGCAGGTGGGCAGTGGGTACAAAGGTCCGGTAGGTGGCCAGGAAGGCAGGCACAAAGCTGGGGTCCTGCTCATGGTCTCCAGACACCAACTCTCCCACCAGCCGCTCCAGGCGCGCCGCCCTCAGCACCCTCACCTTGCTGGTTCGATAGTGGAGGAAGGTGTTGGCAATGGGGCTGGGGGCCTGCAGGAGGGGAGAGGCGGCCATGAGAGAGCAGCAGTTGTCCTCGCAGCACTCCTTCTCTAATCACATTAATCACTATCACCACTCTTTTTCTTTTCTTTTTTTTTTTTTGAAACGGAGTCTCGCTCTGTCGCCCAGGCTGGAGTGCAGTGGCGCGATCTCAGCTCACTGCAAGCTCCGCCTCCCGGGTTCACACCATTCTCCTGCCTCAGCCTCCCGAGTAGCTGAGACTACAGGCGTCCGCCACCACACCCAGCTAATTTTTGTATTTTTAGTAGAGACGGGTTTTCACCGTGTTAGCCAGGATGGTGTCGATCTCCTGACCTTGTGATCCGCCTGCCTCAGCCTCCCAAAGTGCTGGGATTACAGGTGTGAGCCACCACGCCTGGCTTTTTTTTTTTTTGAGACAGAGTTTCACTCTGTTACCCAGGCAGGAGTGCAGTGGCATCATCTTGGGTCACTTCAACTTCTGCCTCCTGGGTTCAGGCAATCCTCCTGCCTCAGCCTCCAAGTAGCTGAAACTACAGGTGCACACCACCATGCCCAGCTAATTTTTATAGACAGGGTTTCACCATGTTGGTCAGACTGGTCTCGAACTCCTGACCTCAAGTAATCTGCCCACCTTGGCCTCTCAAAGTCTCCCAAAGGGCTGGGATTACAGGCGTGAACCACAGTGCCCAGCCCCTAGCACCACTATTTTTTTTTTTTTTTTAGACAGAATCTCGCTCTGTCACCTAGGCTGGAGTGCAGTGGCATGATCTTGGCTCACTGAAACTTCTGCCTCCTGGGTTCAAGCAATTCTCTGTCTCAGCCTCCCAAGTAGCTGGGATTACAGGCACCCGCCACCACGCCCAGCTAATTTTTTTGTATTTTTAGTAGAGACGGTGTTTCACCATCTTGGCCAGGTTGGTCTTGAACTCCTGACCTCATGATCCACCCGTCTCGGCCTCCCAAAGTGCTGGGATTACAGGCGTGAGCCACCATGCCCAGCCCCTAGCACCACTCTTGTGTGTGATTCCTCTGACTCCCAGCTTCTTGGAGTTATTGTTTCGGTTTGGTTTTTTTAGAGACAAGGTCTTGTTTTGTTGCCCAGGCTGGGGTGCAGTGGCACAATCATAGCTCCCTGCAGCCTCCAACTCCTAGACTCAAGTGGTCCTCCTGCCCCAGCCTCCTGAGTAGCTGGGGCCACTGCTGGGCATCACCACCCACAGCTGATTTTTTGATTTTTATTTTTATATAAAGAGAATCTTGCTGTGTTGTCCAGGCTGGTCTCGAATTCCTGGCCTCCTGCCTTGGTCTCTCAAAGCTCAGGGATTACAGGTGTGTGCCCCACACCCTGCCCGCTTGAAGTTACTATTCCTCCCCATCCACAAATATCTCCTGCAACCTGCCCTGGAAACCCTCTCTCTCCCATGCCCTGTCCCCTACTCCCTCCCCCCGCCCCCACACATACACTATTGTCCACCCCGGGCTTCCCTCAGCCCTCCAGTCGCGCTTCACTGGCTGCCCCACCCACCCTCACCCAGCCACTTCTAAACCAACCCCTTTCCACCTTCCAGCCCCGGCCCTCTAAACCTGCCTTTCCTAACCCTGTCGTCCAAGCTGTCCTTACCAAGCTGTCCCCAGGCTCCTCTCGAGAACTGCGCGGCCATCACCTGGCCCCACCCGATTCCCTGGATCTTCCCCCACTTACCTGGCCGCCCCCAGGCCTCTTTCTACCTGGTCGCCTCTGAGCCCCTCCCTTCCTTCCGCCCACTGCATCTGGCGGCCTGTGCTCCGCTCTCCGGCTCCGCCCTCACCTGGTCGCTTCCGGCCCCGCGCCACACACCAAACCCCCTCCTCACCTGGCTGCCCGCGGTGCCCTCCGCCGGGCTCAAGCGCTGACTGCGCTGTCGCCGCAGGGAGACACTGTACACCGCGCCGTCCTCGGTCTCTTCCCCCCAGTCCTGCAGCGGTGCCTAGACGCAGAGGCGGACTCAGGGCACCAAAGGGGCGCAGGTCCTGGGGCCTCAGCCTCCTTGGCGGCTTGGACTCGGGCTGAGTCTTGCTGCTCCATCCCCACGCCCCTTCCCAGCCAGAAGCTGCTAGACTCGGGCTGGGGTCCCAGGCTAGTACCCTCCCAGCCGCGGGTCCCCTCCTCCCAGGTCCTGAGGACATGTGGTAGCATTTGGGGATGTCCCAGGGCCCCGCCTCATAGAATCTGCCTCTAGCCTTTTCTGCCGACTGCGCTCAGAGAATCGCGCCCCTACCCCTAAGAGGAAGTAGTCGCTTCACTGGGTCAAGGGCCGTGAGTCCCCAGGAGGGGACTCCAGGGCAAGTTCAGATGGGAGCAGATAGCGTCCGACAGGAGGGCACTTGGAGTTTCTGGACCTGCGGGTCACCAGGAATGCGGGGTCCGGGGATCCCTTGTCCCCTTACCAGGGCCAGCTCTTTGCCTGCTGTGCGCTCCATGGCCGGCACCCGTCCCTCTCAGTGGCTCCGCTGAGTGAAAGGGAAGGGCCGGCGGGTGGCGGGCAGTGGCTGGGCGCTGGGGCCAGAGGGGCGGGGCGGCCGAGCTGCTGGGGCTGGGCGGGGCAGGCCCGACCCAGCTTCTGGGTGCCTCCAGCTGGACCCCGCGCGAGCCCAGGAGAGGTCCTGGCTCTTCCGCTGGGCGCCTATCTGTACCCAGGAGAAAGGACACATGTATCCCCAAGGGATCTTTTTTGTACCCCCAGATGTGGGGGAGTTCCTGTGTGGGGGCAGGTGAGTGTCCCCAGACCAGAGTCCTCTGTCCTCCAGTGGAAGAGGCTAGCTTGACCAAGTGTGAGGGCATCGCCCACTTTTTACTATTATTGTTATTATTTTGGGATGGAGTTTCGTTCTGTCACCCAGGCTGGAGTACAGTGGCTTGATCTCAGCTCACTGCAACCTCCGTCTCCCAGGTTCAAACGATTCTCTTGCCTCAGCCTCCCAAGTAGCTGGGATTACAGACGTGTGCCACCATGCCTGGCTAATTTTTGTATATTTTGTAGAGACGGGGTTTTGCCATGCTTGCCAGGCTGGTCTCAAAATCCTGGCCTCAAGAAATTCACCCGCTTCAGCCTTCCAAAATGCTGGGATTACAGGCGTGAACCATGGTGCCCAGCCTTATTATTTTTTAGAGACAGGGTCTCACTCCTGGTGCTGAGGCTGGAGTGCAGTGGCTTGATCTTGGCACACTGCAATCTCTGCCTCCTGTGTTCAATCTATTCTCCTGCCTCAGTCTCCCAAGTAGCTGGGACTACAGGCACGTGCCACCATGCTCAGTTGCTCAGCGTTTTTTTTTTGTTTTGTTTTGTTTGGTAAGAACTGGTTTTCACCATGTTGCCCAGGCTATTCTGGAACCCTTGGGCTCAATCGATACACCCAGCTCAGCCTCCCAAAGTGCTGGGAATACAGGTATGGGCCACTGCACCCCGCCCTTATTTTATTTATTGAGACAGGGTCTGGTTCTGTGGCCCAGGCTGGAGTGCAGTAGCATGATCATAGCTCACTGCAGCCTGAAGCTCCTGGACTCAAGTGATCCTCCCAACTCAGCCTCCTCAAATACTGGGATTACAGGCGTAAAAACACTACATCCGGCCATCTCCCATTTTTAAGCTCCATCTGCGTCACCAGCTGATGGGAGTCATCATGACCCAGGTTGGAGGAGGGAGTCTGTGGCCCTGGGTTTTCAGGGACAGCCATCTCTTGGGTGGTGCAGGGTCAAAAAGAGATGAATGCCAGGGGCGTGGTCAGTAACCTTTATTGCGCAACTCTGAGGCCGGGGCAGACTCGGCTGGGGAGATTTACTGTGGGAACGTCTGGCCCGGCCCCTTCCTCCCCTCCGGGCGCCGCTGGCCGCCTCCGCTCCCTGTCCGGGCCGCGTTCAGCCCTTGAAGGGGCCCCGTGGGGCCTGCGCTAGACCTGGAGGGATTGGGGGCACCGATGGGGGCCGCCAGGTGGGTGTCAGGGCGACTCTAGGGCCTCCGAGAGCGACGGTGCTTCTTGTAGCTTTCGATTAATTTCTGGGAACGGATCTTTAGCGATGCGCGGGTCACTACCTGGTTGTCCTCCTCCTCACTCTCTTCATCTACGGGGGGGGTGGTGGGGGGATGAGCAGGGAGCGATGAGGGATCCAGGTCCCCATCCCTGGTACCCCTTCCCTTTACCACCCCACTCCACCCCCACCTTGGCCTTGAGCAGGGTATGGGACAACCTCCTGTTCCCCAGCTTGGGGCCCTAACCACACCCCTTCATCCCCCCACCCATACTGACCAAAAAACTTGTCCTTGGGAGTGGCAAGGGGCAGCGTGATGCGGGTGTTGTATTCGGGCAGCCTTCCCTCTAAGCTGGCGAGGAACTAAGCGGGGATGGGAAGTGAGAGAGGAAGGTGGGAGGGGCCAGGGGCCACCGAGAAATCACATTCCCCCTCCTCCCTACCCCATTCGGAGATATGCCCTGGTTCCAACTGGAGACCATTGCCCACTTCCATCCTTCCTTCAGCAGACACCTTGATACCCAGCTTCGCCTCCTCATCACTCAGGTCCGCCCCTGGTCTCTGGGGCCCTGCTATAGGCCTCTCCCCATCCCGATCCCCCAGCCGCGTCCTCTAGCCTCCCGGGATCCGCCCGCACCTCGTCTGGTTTCTTCCCTCGTGGCTCGGGCTCACCCCTAGCTCCTCAAACCTCACCCGTTGTGTCCCCGAGACCCCTTCCTGGCTGATCAGCCTGCACTCTGGTCTCTCGAAGTGGCCCCCAGTTCCCTGGTTTTCCGACCCAGCCCCACTACTAGAGCTCTGGAGCTCTGCCCCAGGGCTGCAGGGCACCTCGCGGTCAGCGATGTGGCGCAGCATCTCCTGCACGTCGTGGCTCCCGAGCTGCGCCTGCAATTTCAGCAGCTTTTCCTCCACGAGGCCCAGCAGGCTTGGCAGATAGTTATCTGCCTGGGGATCCAGCTCCTTCCCCACGAAGCGGCCGTCCTCCTGTGGCCAAGGTAGAGCCGGGTCAGCCGAGAGGGGTGGGGCCTATTGGAAGGCGCCACCCAGGGGCGGGGCTTTTCTCTCGGGAGCTGGGCCTAGGAGCTAAGGGCCCACCTACAGGGGCCATCCTAGCCATTGTGGGCGGGGACTTAGATCAAGGCCGGGTCTGCGATGGGGGAGTCTCTGAACTCTAGCTCTCTATGAAAAGGTTTCGGGGAGGCCTCTTGGGAACAGTAAGGATTCGAGGGAGACCATTGTGGGATGGCCTCCTGAAGAAATGGGCCTCTGCTGCGGGCAGGATAGGGCGTCTGTCTCGGGTTGCTCCAGAATTGCAGATAGGTCTCCGAGGTTTTCTGGGACAGGGTGGGACTTCTTTCCCTTGGAGGCGGAGCTTGAGAGGGGACAGGGGCTCTGAAGTCTTGGGCTTCCTTGGGGAGTGAGAGCTTCCCCAGGGAGGTGGGGCGGGGAATGGGGTGGGGCTTCCCCTGTGGGCGGGGCCTGACGTTCGGGACAGAGGATGTGGCAGGCCACGTTCCCCAGGGCAAGGGGGTGTGGCAGGAACCCCTGCTTTGTGGCTGCGCCTCTTTGGTCCCGTGAGGGCCTGGTGGGGCTTCCCCCCGGGGGGGCCTACCACAGTGATGTGGACCAGCTTGCTGGCCAGGTGCTCTAGGCTGTCCTTGGCCACTTGCATCGCCCGCAAGGCGCGCTCCAGCTGGTTCTGGGCCTCGGCGTGCCGCTGCTCCTCCTTCTTGAGACGCTCCTGCGCCTCGGCTTGCAGTTTCTGCTGGCTGGAGGGAGCCGGGAGGTCACCCCGGGGTCTCAGCCCGCCCCACCGCCCTCCCCAGGGCCCTGGCGCCTCACCTCACCAGCGTGGCCTCCCCTGAGTACTTGAGGTCTTCCAGCTCCCGCTGAAGTTGTTGCTTCTCCTGCTTCAGCCTCACCAACGTCTGCTCGTTCTCGCTCTTGAGCGTCTCCAACTGCGCGAAGGTGTCGCCCTGGGCCACGAACCGCCGCACCAACGACTGTGGGCCACCCAGCCCCAGTCAGAGCCAGGGCCTAGAGAGGCGCAGGGGCGCTCCACCTCCTCTCCCCCACCCTGCGTCCTATCGCACGCAGGACAGGTGGCCTGAGCTGGCGTCTTTTGCACAGCAATGTATGGGGACACTGTGGGTTGGACTCAGGGTGGCTTCAAGGATGAGCAGCCCTGGATATATCATTTTTGCGGGGGCTCTTTCTGGCCTATATAAGGAATTTGAGTCAGCTCAAATTCGGGGGCAGCTGGACAGGCGAGCATAGCTTCTTTCCAAAAATCAACGTGCCATCAATTTCTGGCCGCGAATCTCGCCTGATCCCACAGGAAATACCTCCCTTCTTCGGAGCCATCTGCTCACAAGGCCCACATCTGGAAAGGGGCTGCGCCTCAGTGCCCCAGATGACCCCATAGGTGTCCTCCAATAGGTGGGAGTCCCGGAACTCCTCAGGGGTTGGCCCCATGGGGGGAGCAGCAGGTTGGCGGGCACCCAGAGGGGAGAAACAGGGTTGGGGTCCAGTGTTCACTGGCGGGAACCAGGACCCAAAGGGGACACATTGGTCTTAGAATAATGCAAAGAAGACGCTGTAAAGTGAGGGACCCAGCGCAGGGACCCCACTTGCCAGGATCTGAGCGGTCTACTGGGTCACAGACCATGTTACAGACACTGGAGACAGAACAAGAGAGGAAACTCTCAGTTCTCCTAGAGCTGGCACGGCAAAGGAATTAGCATGGTTCAAGAGAGAACGGAAGGCGAGTGTAGAAATGACAGCGAGTGTGGACAGCTCCTGGGGGTTTTGCTGTGAAGGGCAGCAGGAAAACTGAACGGTAGCTGGAGGGGGAAGGGATGTTTTTCAAGAAAGGAGTAGGTTTGTGAGCTGAAGAACTGACCTGGCAGAGAGGGGAGGCAGGGTGTGCCGGTTTCACCAGCCTGGGCACCCCTGGGGCCCGTCTGGGGTGGACGGGGCAGGGCGGGGAGGGCTGCGGGCAGAACTCACGTGCGTCTCGGCAGTGCCAGTGGCGTCCTTGACCTTGCCAAAGATCACCTCCATCTGGTACATGCTCCAGCGCTGCCGCAGCTCCTCCTCCTTGGCATGCAGGCTGTCCTGGGTGGTGTCCTCAGACTGTAGCAGTAGGTGCTCACGGTGCGTCTGCTCGTGGGTTGAGGTCAGAGCCAGGGTCAGCCCGTGGACAGCGCTTAGGGCGGAGGCCGGGGAAGGGGATCCAGACTGGGGCCCAGGAGGGAACAGGGCTCAAACTGGAGAGAAGGGAGAGCGCAAAAGCTTGGGGCCAGATAAAGGCCCCGGGCAGAAAGTGGGACAAGGTCGAGCGCGGGTGGTGGTGGCTGTGATTCACGCCTTTCATTCCAGTACTTTAGGAGGCTGAGGCCGGAGGATCGTTTGAGCCCAGGGGTTCGCGACCAGCTTGGGCAACATGGCGAAACCCCATCTCTACAAAAAATGCAAAAATTAGCAGGGCGTGGTAGGGCGCCTGTAGTCCCAGCTA